AACAAAATCAGAGATGTTGAGAAACACTTCGATGATCGTGCCGTATTGTTCCATGGTCTCCAGGAATGGTCCTAGACGCTTGAGATACACCAGCTTTTGCTCTTTCGTTGTTCGTTCTGTATGTCTGATATCTCACACCTCAGATCATCGAGGGATGTCAGTTGAAAGTTTGTAATTTCGTGCTGTTTCAACCCAGCCGATTTCTTAAATTCTTCCACGGCTCTTTCAAAAGCAGAGGCGATATTTGGTGAAGCACGACTCATGTTGCGCACTTTCTATACTGAACAGAACCTATTTCCATTGAACAAATTCTCGGGTTGCAGGCAGGAGTCGCAGCCTTTCTGCTTCGAATCCTGGGCCGCGATTGCCGTTCTCAAATGTCTACACACTCGAAAACCGAGCAAACATACGCAGCCTGGCTGACCTGCCTTACTGCATTGTTGAGGCTCAGACGATCATTGAGAGACCTATCCTGGCCATGAATCTTGCCAAGACGGCTAAAGGAGTTTACCGGTGAAACGCCACATCCCACCTCGCAGCCTGCCAACACAGCCCTGATAACATCACGGGAATCAACATGTAGGTATGTGTCAGCTGGTGGCAAACAAGTGATGTGTCATTATGTGTCCTTAATTGCGCGACTAAATTGCTGCTTTGAAGTCCCCCAGCGTCAGTCTGAAGACCGTCTGGAGCAATGCCTGATTCTTTGATCCGTGATGTCAGTCGAAAACGACGTCTGAATAACAAATACCAGTCAAAGCCGCCTGAAAAAATCGCAAAATTCATCGGAAAGATAGCCAATAGCGAACAAGCAGATCCTTTCGCACCGACGGAGCGGATATTGGCCAATGCTCCTGACCAGCCAGAAATAGATGATGATGGCCAATGTACACCTGGATTTGGGGACCTAGAACTGGAATACATTAGCCATTCTGGCGTTCTGAGTCGTGAAGGTTGCTCTGATCTCAATTCACTCGGTGATACAGACAATCTATCGTTGAATTTAGATATCAACACTGCAATTTCCGACCCAGAAGAGATTTATTTCGGCATGGTGCGTATGATTTTCAGCCAAACAAGGCTTACGTGGTTTAACTATCGGTCTAGCTGCCTGGGCTCCCAGTGCGCTTTAACAAGGGTGTTGACCCTCTCATGATTACGAAGGATTCCCAGGTCGATCCAGGCAGCACAGAACTTCATCTCACCTTTCTCGAATCCTACTGCGAGATCAAGGCATGTTCGGGAGGTCCTTTAGGAGTGCTGAATACGGCTTCTTTTCGCCAACTCTCCGGGTTACCACCAGAGATCAAAATCAGGCTTACGGGTCAGTTGAGCCTCGCGAACTCATCACATGAAGGCAATAATTCTAAAGACAATGATTCGCCAAGACTCCGTTCGCTAGATGTCCTCGTTTTTGGGTTCAGATCTCAGGCGAAGATAGCTGCTGCGAAGCTGGCGGCGAACGGTATATATTTACAGGAACCAGATCAGGTGCCTTGGGGGTATGTGTATGAGAACCCACAATATCTTGATCTCCCAGTCCTCCCACAATCCGATGAAGGCTCGGCCAATATAATTTCCGATACTCGAACAGCAGGAGTGCTTCACGCACAATCAGTTGAGAGTGAGACCGACCTTGACTTCGACAAGATGCTTGGTACATTTGCATGCCACAATGGGCTGGGACAAGCAACAGCTGTTGGGCAAGTCTCGAACACACTGTTCAGGTCTGTAAACCTCTCTGATGATATGAAGAAACTCTGACAATTTGAAAGTCATCAGAAGGAAGGGCTTGACTTCATTCAGCAGCGGGAGTCTGGTTCAGTGCCTGCTTCGCGTGCCCTCTGGGAGCAGGTACAAGACAAGATGGCCAGCGATGGGCCTTTAATGTATGCCTACTCATCTATGTTCCTTTTGAGAATTCTCTACGCACGAAATTATAGCTAATTGACTAAAGGTTTCGACATATCATTACCGGTGCAATAAATACAAAAAGACAGGAATGCCTTGGTGGACTGATAGCTGACGAGATGGGCCTTGGTAAATCCCTGACTATGCTTTCAGGCATTGTTGGCTCATTGGATCAAGCTATACGCTACGCAAAAAGCGTGACCAAGATAGGGACCTCTGCAAACGACATAATCGCCGCAAAGTCTACCTTGATTCTCGTTCCCTCACACCGTATGTTCGCATACGCTTATCGATAGATATGACTGATCACATTTTAGTTTTGATTGATACATGGATAGATGAAATCCACAAGTAGGTCCATCTCATACTTTCTCAAGGTTATTTTGATGCTAACTCATAAAGCCGTATCACGCCTGGTGGGCTTTCGTATTATGTTTTCCACGGTTCCGGACGAAAGATCGCATATCCCCTATTGCTGACGCATGACATTGTCTTCACGACATACGGGACTGTGACAGCCGAATACACTCGTAACCGCAGTCTCCTACATCATATTCATTGGTATCGTATCGTACTGGACGAAGGTATTATTGGCAGATGCATAGTTAGTCTGTATTGTTCTGACTCTCTTTAGCACATATGATCCGTAACGCTGCAACTAAGCAGTTTGGAGCTGTAAACGCACTCCAAGCACTACTGCGCTGGTGCTTGACAGGAACGCCTATTCAGAATTCTCTCGATGATCTTGGTTCACTGACAACATTCTTGAAAGTGCCGATACTGGAAAATACCGCTCAATTCAAACGACACATCGTGAACCCAATCGAGCATAAGAAAGAAAGATCACGAAAAGACCACACAGGTCTCCGTACCCTTCTCACTTCTATATGCCTGCGAAGGACCACAGCTGTATTGCCTCTAAGCGACGTTACCGAAGTGACCGAATTGAAACGCATCATAACCTTCACTTCGAGTGAGCGAGCTCAATATGCTCAGATTGAGAGGCTATTCAAGAAGGCACTGGATTCAGAAGTAAACGGAGGGAAAATCGCACGTTGCCATCAGAAATTTCTGGAATTTCTCCTTCTTCTAAGGTTATTTTGCAACAACGGTAGCACTCGTGAACAGTCCGGAGATCAGGGCGGACGTACATTGAAGAGCACTGAGGAAACTCTCAGTCTCATCCAGCAGCAAGGTCGGGAAGAATGCTATTTTTGCGAATGTAATGTCATCTTTTCGCCTGGTTCGGCAGAGACAGGCATGCCTCTAATAACCGACTGTCTGCATGTGGTGTGCGATGATTGCATTCCGCGATGGAAGCATGCAGCTTCGAAAGTCACACATTGTCCTATCTGCAAGAAATTCCATATTTGCCAGCCCGAGACCCAGCATACCAAGGCAGCTGTAGCTGTGCATACGGTATTTCCGTCCAAGATTATGACTCTCTATGAAGACATACAAGCTCATTGCAACGACAGTAAATCGTAAGATACTCTAGTTCAGTTTCCTGCGTGCAGAGATGTCTTCCATGTCAGTTTAGGTTACCAATGATCTCCTCGCGACCGACTGCCATATCATGGACTAGTTACCCGCAAAGGGGCGAGCATTCTACACCATGAACGACCCCAACAACTCAATTAACCATGTCGTTCGACATCTTCTGTCTAGGTCTGGCAATCCTTGACGGGTTCAGTGTATCACAACACTGGCTGCTGCAGGAGAGATTCTGAACTCTAAGCCTACCCCACCCCCATGCCATAGTATATCCACCCCTACGTAGGGTGAGGCACCACCCCAAGGCGATGGAGCGGCTGTCATGAACGTATTATCTTGGTAATGATGAGG